CTTCTCCTTCACCTCCTTCTCCTCCTTCTCCTCCTTCTCCTTTTCCCTCTCCTTCTCCCTCTCCTCCTTCTCCATATCCTGCAGTGGGAGGTGACATGCATGGGGACAATACTGTATCGCTTGTGTAGCTGCATACTTGAGACCTGTGCTTTGCATTTTGAGTGATTTAATTATAATCTGGTCGAGCCTGGGAGGGTGAAAGCTGGTTTGATTTCACAGATCTCTTTAGTATTTGCAAGGAGAAGATAACGATACTTGTCAGACCTGTGCCTGGTGCTCAGGTGACCTCACCTCTCTTCTGTGTTTTATTTCCCCCCCCACAGTGAAAGATTACTTGCCATCTCCAAAGCTGACCCACAAGAGAGCATTCAGTGATGATGTCTCCCAAGTCAGCCCGGTTCTGGAGCCCAAAACAATCCAAAACCTGAATCCAAAGAACGATCCCGTGTCCAGATCTTCCCTCTGCATCAACGGGAGCCACGTTTACAGCGACGAGCCCGCACCAAAGAGCCCCGTGTCTGTCCCGCAGAGCTCTGCGCCGCTGGCCGTGCCCAGCGTCCCCAGACGGCAGGAGGAAGGTTTTGGCTTCACCCCCCTCCATCCTGACCCCCACGAGGTACCTTGGGGGGTCAGCAACTTTGAGAGGACGCAACAGAGAGAGGAGCCCAGGTTCATCCCATCTCCTCCCAGCTTAGTGTTGCAAGAAGAGCTGAAGGTCTCCACCAAAGCCGTCACTCTCAGTAACCATCTGGGCAGAGCCAAGATGGAAGAAAACAGTCGCTTAGAGAACAAACCAACTCAAGCTGCAACACCCATGGTCCTCTCCGTGGAAACAACGAAGGACAAACCACCTGAGGAGATGAGGAAGGAAGAGAAGAAAGGAAAGGGTGGCCTCTTCCACCACGGGGGCAACAAGAGTGACGCGGGAAGCAAAGGCCAAGGGGAGAAAGTGGGACCCTCCCATGGCTCGTCCATCCACACGACAGCAGGAGGAGAAGAGAGGAATAAAACCAGCAGCTGGTTTGGTTCAAAGGAGTCCAAAGAGTCCCCTCAGAAACCCAGGTCAGTGAAATGGGTGTGTTGACCTCTAGGCCATTAACGAGCTGCCCCAGCCTCCTGTCTTCAAGAACTGTGCTGTTAAAATGCTCTCCAGCATCAGCAGAGGAGTGGTCTCCATTGCTCAGACAAGATGATAGTGAGGGAAACAGGGGGGACCTACAGAAAGGGTGGGGAGGGACTTTGTCCAAGGGCAGGGAGTGAGAGAACAAGGGGTGATGGCTTGAAAGTGTCAGAGGGGAGATGGAGCTGAGATGTGAGGAAGAAATTGTTTGGTGTGAGGGTGGTGAGACAGTGTCCCAGGTTGCCCAGAGAAGCTGTGGCTGCTCCTCCCTGGAAGTGTTGGTGGCCAGGCTGGATGAGGCTTTGAGCAACCTGGTCTAGTGGAAGGTGTCCCTGCTGCTGGCAGGGGGGTTGGAACTGGATGAGCTTTAAGGTCCCTCCCAACCCAAACCAGTCTGGGATTCTATGATTCTATGAAATGCTTCCTTGGTCTTAAATATCTCAAAGGGAGGGTGATTTTTCCTGACTCCTCTCCTGGCTTCTGCCACAAACCAGCTCCCTCTGCCCTCCATTCCCAGTTGGGGAAGGGAGGGATCCCCTTCAGGGAAAGGGAGACAATTCCCTCTGCAGAAATGAGTCTCAGCGTGGTCATACCAAGTGTTTCTGTGGCCTCAAAGTAAAAGGTTTGTTATCCTTTAATTAGCTAAAAAACTTTCCCTGGCAGTCAGTGTAGGATGTGGGATATAATGACATGTAATCACAAATTTTTTTTAATTAACCTTCCACCCCCTCTATGTCACCAGTCCAGCCTGAGAGTACAACACTTTGGTAACCCGAGATATTCTTAATATTTCTGAAGTAACTAATCCCAACCCTGCTTTTTCCTCTTCCCATCCCACCCCAGCCTTCCCTTCCCTTCTCCTGATTATAAATCTCTAATTGTTCTCCCTTGGTGTGATGATTCATCCTTCCAAATCCTCAGCTCTTTATTTCTGGCACACACAACGTAGTGTCCCTGCTCTTTCCGTGCTGGATTTATCACCACGGTGCGTGACCCACATCCATCCCTGTAGCCCTTGGCAGCTGAGCTGGAGGTCCAGAGGTCAACCAAGAGCTTGGTGCTGTGTTATCATTGCTTAGTGAGAGGGAGAAAATGGGGTTAAAAGCAGCCAGAGAAAATAACGAGCAGTTGAGAGCTGGTTGAATTTACGGGGTTGATTGATTTATAGGGATTTTTCTAACCTGGACTGACTTTAACCTCATTTTTTTTAAGCAGAAGGATTTTAATTCAGTCTAAGCCTCCTTTAATGAGGAGAGCACTCATGGTTTATTCAAACCTAACCAGATTCCCACATGGGTTAAACTACTCTTAAAGTGCTGCTCAGACCTAAGTGAGGGGGTGAGCACGTTGCTCACAGTGGCTTCAGAACAGGGGCAGCCCCAAAAGTCCTCGTCTTCTCACCCCACAAGAAGATGTTCTGCTCGTAGTGGTCTTTAAGGCCAATGAGAGGCCAGAATGTGCTGCCACCTCCCTTCCCAAGGACACAAAGTCCATGTGTCCTTGTGCTGTGTGGCACAGTGGTCCATGGAGAGGAGCATGTGGTGTTGGGAGAGGTGGGAGAGGTGCTGCAAGGGCTGGTGAGGCTCAGTCCTGGCACTGCCAGTGCTCCCAGCTGCACGGCAGAGCTGGGGACACCAGGGCAGGGTGGGAGCTGCTCCCCTGTGTGACAAACACTCCATCTCACAGAGCCCAGAGCTCTTTCCCCAGAAACCTTTCTCTGGGGAGTGAAGACTGGCTCGCATGGGGAAGGGAAGGACCAGGCAGGATGTAGGCTCTCTGTCCTCAAGCTGCTCCAGCAGCAGGAGAGAACGTGAGGTGATGGGACTGCTGGGGCCACACTCCTACGTATGGTCTCCCATTTCCAGGAGACTTAACTCTGGTAGTTTTTTGGTGTCACAATCCAGTGCAAGGTTTGTTTCTGGATGGATGAGACTAAAGGACTCTGGTCTCTCAGTGCTGTGGTTCAGGAAGGACAGAAGACCCAAGGACATGGAGCTACTGGAGCCAGTCCAGAGGAGGCCACGAGGATGATGCGAGGGCTGGAGCAGCTCTGCTGTGAGGACAGGCTGGGG